TAGGAATAGTAGTAGTTGGGGTAGTAGTAGGTGCCGTAGGTTCAGTAGTAGTTGGGGTAGTAGTAGGTGCCGTAGGTTTAGTAGTAGTTGGGGTAGTAGCTGTAATGGGAATAGCAGTAGTTGTGGTATAGTAGCAGCAGAAAGAAGCAAACTGTGACTCTATATAGGTCCTCGATTAAACTAAATAAATAATAATAATCATCATTAGTGTTGGTAGTAATATCAGTTGTAGTAATGGTGGTAATTGTAAAGGGGAGAGGGTCACATGCCTCAGGTATGTTTCTTTCCCATGACGGGTGAACAGAGAAATGGGGAGCTGAGGGAATGAGCAGCAGATAGGTGGGCAAAAATAACGGAGGTTGTTGCTTTGCTTCAATGGACAAACCAGAGGTTCCCTTAAATGTGGACTTGGGCATAAAGATGTTTATATTTCCTGGTTTATAGGAACCATCTTGGAATGGTTATTGTGTCTAAGCAGTACCCTGAAAATGTACCTTAGGTTTGGAATTCCTCCAGAGAAGTTGCAGTGAAATTCCTGTGCCTAGGCATTCTCTTTCTGTAGATGCAGTGTGAGATCATCTAAGGCACTGTTGCCTCTGATTGCTAGTCTCAGCAGATTCAGAGTGAGATTTGGTGATGGTGCTACTATACTGCTCATGGTTCTCCTTGCTGGAGAGGAAGCTGTACCTGAGGACCTGCACTGTAAGGATCTCCCTGCAATCCAATCTGTGCTCCCTCCACCCCTCCTACACCAGCTATCAGATCACTGGTCATCGGGGGGGGGGGGGGGGCGGCATCTCTGACATTAAGAAGCAAATCCCTTCCTATGATATCCACCTCCACACAGACACACAGTGCAGAACAAAGCAAAGACTTAACAAAGCTCACTAGATATTTCCTAAGGAAGCAGAATTATGTGAATAAAGTAGCTGACCATGGTGGGGGATGGGCAGTGATGAACCCTACTACCCGAATCATACATGATGGAACATCAGCCCATGTAGCCGTCTGTGTTATGAATCAGCCACATATATGATGACCTCTTACCTAGGTGATCACACAGATATCTCAGCTCCTCATCATATAAAGAGTCGGTGACGTCCACAACGTTGATCCGTCCTCTTTTCTTGGTGTGATACAAAATACCAAACGTGCACCGAGAGACGGCCTCCCTGAACTGCTGCCATCCATTGTTGGAGATGTAGTGAGGAAGGACGGTTATCATATTGACATGGAAGATCTCCCATTTTAGTCGGTTGATAAGCCATTCATAGTCACTCTCTGATGACCTTGAAAAGATCCCAACTGTGTGATATCCTGGAAGATTACCCCTATATAATGAAAGATACAAAACAATAATCATTAGATAACAGCAACAAGAGAAATGATTGTACATTACACTAAATCCATGACTATGAAGCCTGCAAATATCCTTAGCCAAGAGGTGCTCAACCATTTGAAGAGCGAGGGCCACCTAAATGATTTGGTAACCAGTCGTGGGCCACAATGAACTATGGGATTTTATAGCCCCCCCTCCCCCAAACTGCAAATGTAAATGAGCTGTACTGTCCTGAGCCCTATAACACCAGTGGTGTATTTATGTTTTTTGTGCTGCCCAAGGCAGGACCCCGGGGATGTAACTGTGAGAAGGAATCAGCTTCATCATATACTTCTCTACTTCTAGCAGGTCGTTCATCATCTCACCCTACTGGTGAATGTGTTTCTACTCACAAATAATTGTAATGTCTTAAAACCTTTTCCTGTTGATTTGAGTGGAGAATATCCTGTTGCATTTATAAAGGGGTTCTATTTTATTCATATCATATTCCATGCTTTCTATACATACAGTTGTGTCCAAAATTATTCAACCCCCAATGCTGTAAAGGGGTTTAGGGACTATAGTGTACATTTGGAATTGTATATTCAGAATCAAATCCTACAAGGGACGTTGTAACTACCCAAATGCAACTAAAATGACATCAATTGTTTATGTAATACAGTAGTAAATGGTTCTTATGTGGTTTTCTTCATTGCCACAATTATTCAACCCCTTAAAGACTACCACTCTGAAGAACAGAGGTTCATACAGGTGCTTTCCATCAGGTATTGAAAACACCTGTGGATGTCACCGAGCAGCAATCAAGCATAATTAAGCACCAATTAGGCAGCTTTAAAATGACTGTGATACTCAGCTCCTTCTAGACATTTACTGGGTGTGGTTACAAACATGGTGAAGGCAAGAGAATGGTCCAGGAAGACAAGAGAAGAGGTGATTTCTCTTCACAGGAAGGGCAATGGCTATAAGAAGATTGCAAAGATGTTAAACATACCAAGAGACACCTTAGGAAGCATTCATTCGCAAATTCAAGGCAAAGGGCACTGTTGAAACGCTACCTGGTCGTGGCAGAAAGAAGATGCTGACTTCGACTGCTGTGCGCTACCTGAAGCGTAGAGTGGAGAGAAGTCCCCGTGTGACTGCTGAGGAACTGAGAAAAGATTTGTCAGATGTGGGTACAGAAGTTTCAGCCCAGACAATAAGACGCACACTGCGTAATGAAGGCCTCCGTGCCAGAACTCCCAGGCGTACCCCCCTTGCTGTCTCCAAAGAATAAGAAGAGTCGACTGCAGTATGCCAAAAGCCATGTGGACAAACCACAAAAGTTGTGGGATAGTGTTCTGTGGACTGATGAAACAAAATTAGAAAACTGTTTGGGCCCATGGATCAACGCTATGTTTGGAGGAGGAAGAACAAGGCCTATGATGAAAAGAACACCTTGCCTACTGTGAAGCATGGTGGAGGGTCAATCATTGCTTTGGGGCTGTTTTGCTTCTTGCAGGTACAGGGAAGCTTCAGCGTGTGCAAGGTACCATGAATTCTCTTCAGTACCAGGAGATATTGGATGGAAAACGTGATGCAGTCCGTCACACACCTGAGGCTTGGGAGACGTTGGACCTTTCAACAGGACAATGATCCCAAGCATACCTCCAAGTCCACTAGAGCATGGTTGCAGAGGAAAGGCTGGAACATTTTGGAGTGGCCATCGCAGTCACCAGACTTAAATCCGATTGAGAAACCTCTGGTGGGACTTAAAGAAAGCAGTTGCAGTGCGCAAGCCTAAGAATGTGACTGAACTGGAGGCCTTTGCCCATGAAGAATGGGCGAAGATACCCGTAGATCGCTGCAAGGACACTTGTGTCAAGCTATGCTTCACGTTTAAAAGCTGTTATAACTGTAAAAGGATGCTGTACTAAGTACTAAGATTGAATGTCACTTGGGGGTTGAATAAAACTGATAATGCTGTGAGCACAGAAAAGACATTTGTGGTTATTTCATTATAACTGTTATGTTATATTTGTCTGACCTACAAGTGCCTCTTTAATGTAAATGTAAGCAAGATGACTGAATGATCAAAAGCAATGTCAAAAAACTGGCCAAAACACTCAATTTCAGTGGGGGTTGAATAATTTTGGACACAACTGTAGATATCGTAAATATTCTTACCCAAATGCATGAGCGGGTACCTAAATGAATTAAAAGAATAAAGTCACAATAAGGGACAAGAAAATGTGAAGAAATTATCACAACCAACAACAAAGACAAACTTACTTATTATGATCTTTCTGATCTTCTCTATTTTTCCTCCCAAAAGAAGCTAAAACAGATGTAAGTCATAAGACATATAAGACACATAATAATAAATCAGCTGCAAAGGCAGAAAAATGTTTACATCACGGGAACAACTTTTAACTTGAGATGGAGAACATGTTTAACCACACTTCAACTCCACAAGATTTTATCCCCCTATCATGACCAGGCTATTTTTTTGCTATGCAGCACTAGTGATGGGCTGAACACCCCCCCGTGTCACACATCTGAACCTACAGAATGTTCGACCGCGAAACTTCAAACAATTTACTGAGCGGTATCTTCCTGCATCTGAGTATGTGGTAAGATCCCGCCTCAGTTAACCAAAACACCACATGAGTTCTATTATGAAAGTCACGTGGGATTTTGGTAGTGAAAATTCATTATATGTTTCAGTTGTCAGTGGGGTTCCCCCTGTGGTGTATTTTGGTTTTGTGCTGCCCTAGGCCAAGACTAAAATCGGGCCCCACCCCCGCATCTAAATTGTGCCCACCCTTTTATCTGCAAACTCTGCCCCCTTTCTCTTTTAGGCTCCACCTCTCTTCCTATTAGAGTTCCACCCACTGACAAGGATGGGGCGCCTATTCCTCCCACTGACAACGATGGGGGGCGCTATTCCTCCCACTGACACCAATGATGGGGCACTATTCCTCCCACTGACACCAATGATGGGGCACTATTCCTCCCACTGACACCAATGATGGGACACTATTCCTCCCACTGACACCAATGATGGGGAACTATTCCTCCCACTGACACCAATGATGGGGCACTATTCCTCCCACTGACACCAATGATGGGGCACTATTCCTCCCACTGATACCAATGATGGGGCACTATTCCTCCCACTGACACCAATGATGGGGCACTATTCCTCCCACTGACACCAATGTATGGGGCACTTATTCCTCCCACTGACACCAATGATGGGGCACTATTCCTCCCACTGACACCAATTGATGGGGCACTATGTCCTCCCACTGACACCAATGATGGGGCACTATTCCTCCCTGATACCAATGATGGGACACTATTCCTCCCACTGACACCAATGATGGGACACTATTCCTCCCACTGACACCAATGATGGAGCACTATTCCTCCCACTGACACCAATGATGTGGCACTATTCCTCCCACTAATACCAATGATGGGGCACTATTCCTCCCACTGACACCAATGATGTGGCACTATTCCTCCCACTAATACCAATGATGGGGGCACTATTCTCCCACTGATACCAATGATGGGGCACTATTCCTCCCCCACTGATACCAATGATGGGGCACTATTCCTCCCCCACTGATACCAATGATGGGGCACTATTCCTCCCACTGATACCAATGATGGGACACTATTCCTCCTTCCACTGACACCAATGATGGGGCACTATTCCTCCTTCCACTGACACCAATGATGGGGCACTATTCCTCCCACTGACACCAATGATGGAGGCACTATTCCTCCTTCCACTGATACCAATGATGGGGCACTATTCTCCCCCACTGACACCAATGATGGGGCACTATTCCTCCCACTGACACCAATGATGGGGCACTCTATTCCTCCCACTGACACCAATGATGGGGCACTATTCCCCCCCCACTGATACCAATGATGGGGCACTATTCCTCCCACTGACACCAATGATGGGGCAACTATTCCTCCCACTGACACCAAATTATACTTTACATCGCTGTGCTGACCCATGTTCCAGCCCGGGCTCCCTCCTTCAGACACAGACACTTACCCATCAGCTGTCTTTCCTTCTCACAGCCGCTCTCCTCTCTTCACCGGCTCCAGCTGCTCCCTCGCTCAATCTCAAATCTTTGCGCTGCCGCTCAGCTCCTCCTCTCCTAGCTCAGCTTCCTCGTCTTTGATTGGCTGCCTGTGTGCCTTTTCTGAGCTACAGATCTGGTGGCCAATCACCGGCAAGGAGGCAAAGCTTGCAGAGGGAGGGACAGGCTGCCATAGGCTGCCCAGTGATCCCAGGGGTGTGGGCCAGATTAGAGGAACGGCTTGTTGTGATGGATTTGGTTAAAATGCCTTATTTCATTTCCTATTGAATATATATTATATATACGCTATTTCTATAAGTTTTATAAATATTTACTTTTATTCTTTAATACATATGTTGTGTGAATATTTTCTGCCTGCTGGGCTTTGTGGGTACTATAAGAAATCCTTGCTTAAGAAATGTCTGCTCACACACACAGACCACCCCTTCCCATCGTGTGATTTGGAAGACAAAAGAATGTTTTTCTCTTTTTAAGATAGAATGAAGAAGATCACACCTATTACCATGACGGAGATTGTTTTCGTGTGGAACATGGCCAATCAAAGACTAATATAATGCTTATGCTGTTGTCACATGACTCTCGCATCATTCTGCATATATAAGTTCACTTTCTCATTATAATAAACTAGAAGTGTTTCATAGACTGAACTTGTGTGTCAGCGTGAGTCCCTTCCAATGTGCGCACATTTCAAAGCTAGCGTCATATATTTTGGACAGGAACAGATAAGCAGTGGACGGATTTAAGTCCAAGACTAAAACAGCTGATGCCGAAACCCGGGACTCGAGTAATGAACCTGCAGCCAGCCGCCATGAAAAGGCGTTCGTTGTCAGTCAAACTGGACAGGGCCGGAGATTGATCACCTCTCGGAGCATGGTAAGATATATTTTGCTATCTTACCATTGCTTATCCTGTCTTTGTTGTTGATTCATTCCTGTGCCTAGTACGGCTGCTAAAGGTCACTAAAGGCAGGTAAACCTTGTCTTGCCCGGAGTTTATTTAAATATACCTGCATGTGCTTATCTGTTACCTGGGTCTCTGTTGTGTGTTTTTTGTATCAGTCTTGTGGTGGAAGAAGAGTGGACCTACTGAGGGTTTTGACACATAATGGGGTTTTCTCTGGGTGTGTTGGTAACCTTGTGTGTTGACCACAAGAGAGGAGGTGTCGGGTTACGCGTCACGGTAGTGTGACAGCGGGTTTGCCGTAACTGTTTGTGTGGGTTACGAAGATTTTACTCAGTGATCTGTATTGTCATAGCCCACCAAGATTAGACTGCTATGTTATGTCCGAAAATGTGTGTCTGTAAGTTAATAAGTTTTGCCGTTTCATAAACAGAAGGTTGGGGTTTGTTAAGGTTAAGGGAAAGTCTGGGCAGCAGCCTGTGAAAAATAAAAAAGTGTCTTAGATTTTGTTAGGAAGGACCAGAGACAGGGAGGAGAATGGGTCAGACGCTGATAAGGACCCCTAGAAAGGAATGTTAGCACGTGACCTGGTTGCACAGAGGGAGGGGAGCAGTATGTTAAGGGATTAGTTAAGTTAGAAAGTATGTGGAATCAAAGATAAAGAATGGCGAAAAAAAAAAAAAAAGAGAGAAGAAAGATGTCTTAGTTGACAAAATGTGCTGAAGACAGCAAGAAGTTTGGTATAATGTAGCCAAAGTTATCCACAAAGAGTAGGTGGACAGAACAGGTATTGCTACAGGGAAAAAAAAAAAAAAAACTGTTTATGTGTTAAATATTGAAAAGGAATTACTGGCATGTCATATTGTAAGAGGTGTGAAGGGAAGTGAAGCAGTTAAAAAGTTATCTAAAGTAGCGAAAGTTTTGTAAACTGAAGGTCAGGACTGGCATAAATCATTGTAGGAACAGAGAGGGAATTTTATGTGTTTAAAGGTTTGCTGAACGTGACAGAGAAGCTTGGTAAAAAAAACTGCAAAAGCGTTGCATAAAGAAGGAGGATGGTTGGGAAGAAATTCAATAAAAATGGCGATTGTATAATGTATCATAAAAGTGAAAATGGAAGTGTGCTAAAACCACCGCCCTATGTTGGAATGTGGGGTGGAGGAGGGGGGGACAGCCCTGCCCTTTGTCTAACACCTACTTTATGAGCCCACTCCACCCCAGTCCAGCCCAGTGCACTTCCTGTTTGGCAGCCATCTTGCTGCTCCTGCTTTGTCCCTTCCTGCCCAGCCCAGTACACTTTCCTGATGGCAGCCATCTTGCTGCTCCTGCTTTGTCCTTCCTGCCCCAGCCCAGTACACTTCCTGATGGCAGCCATCTTGGTGCACCTGCTTTGTCCCTTTCTGCCCAGCCCAGTTACACTTCCTGGAGGCGGCCATTATTGGTACACCAAATTAGACAACTGGAAGGCCAACGCCTCGAGTGAGCCGCCTTCTACCCAGTGTGTGGGTCTTACAAGTCAATGGTACATTCTACGTAGCACCGGACGTGCTGAGCAGAATCCCAAGTTGTCTATGGTCCACAGTTGTTGGACCCGAAGATATTGGACGTTTAAAAAGGTACCCCCAATTATGGTGGAACTGAAGCCTGGAGCTCCCCTACCCAGGAAACCACAGTACCCACTGAAACCAGCGCAATCCAAGGCCTTTTTGAAGCAGGTCAAGTCCCTTGTGGCAAATGGTGCACTCGTACCTTGTACTCTCCATTAATACACTTTTGTTCCCGATAAGAAAAGAAGACACCCAAAGGAGAACCAGAGAAGTACAGGATGATACAGGACCTCCGTGCAGTGAATGAAGCCACTGTCTTGAGACACCTATCGTTCCAAATCCCCACACTTTACTCACATGGGTATCTCCAACAGCAATGTATTTCACCGTGTATCTTCCCCTGCAGTTAATATGTTTTCTTCGTTTTTTATCCATGAGGGGCAGCATACACCTGGGCAGTTATGCCACAAGGGGGCGCAAAATTCCCTGAGCCAGTTTGCCAAAGCCATGACCACCATAATGGGCACGTGGCAAAAGGAACATTCGGCAGTGGTCCTTCTTCAATATGTGGATGATTTTTCCTCTGTGCTGATGACATGCCCACGGCTGAAGAAGCCTCAGAGAGTTTACTATGTTACTTGGCACACCAAGACTGTAAGGCCTCTAAACCGAAGTTGCAATGGTGCTCTTAAACAGTCGTATTCTTGGGCCACTGCCTCTCATTGGAACAAGGCATCTTACGGAGGAAAGAGTTAAGGCATCCAGAACTTGCCACTCCCTTTAGGCCAGAAGCCACTCCATGCCTTTCTTGGCCTCATATCCTACTGTAGGTCATGGATTCCTGATGTTTCTTGGTTTATGCATACCACTCTATGATTGCTCTCAAGTCTGAGCCCTTCCATCTGTCCGAAGAAGCGGACTCCAACTTTTTTGGCTCTAAAACGCTTATTTTTCTTCAGCCCCAGCCCTGGTTCTACCAGGACTACCGAGAAACCTTTCAAAAACTGTTCATGTCTGAACGCTACAAGGAAATGGCACAGGAGGTATTGGCCCCAGTCCCACGGAGTGACTGCCTACGATCCGTTGGCTACTACTCATGCCGTTTAGACCCAGTGGCTAGAGGAGCACCCTCATGACTGCGTGCAGTTTTCGCTGCTCCAGCTCTGCTGGATAAGACCTCTGATTATCGTACTGGGACATGAAACTTGTTCTTCTGGCGCCGCATGACATTGCTGCCATTCTAAACCAAGTCCAACCTAAACATTTGTCCACAACGAGGCATCTTAGACTACAGTGTTACCCTCTCCACCTTCCTGATAACGTCACTCTCCTACGTGCCAAATCCCTGAATCGGCCACTCTTCCTCCCAATTGCTGAGGGGGGTAATGAAGGTAATGCAGAAAGTGGAGAGGATGATGGAGCCACTGAGCCGTCATAATTGTCTTGAAGTGATTGAAAATGGAAATCTTCCAGTTTTTTTTCCCCCACAGTGAGTGAAACCCTCTGCAGGATCCAGACTTCACATTTTCTTTGTTGATGGTTCCAGATATGCAGATGAAGGAGGCAAATATTATACAGGATTTGCGGTCATACTGTAGACACAGTCCTACAGGCAAGAGCCTATCGCCAGCAATATCTGCACAGGGAGCTGAACTTCAAGCACTCACAACAGCATGCCAGCAGATGGCGGAAGGAAAAAGGGCCAATATCTACACAGACTCCAGATACGCCTTTGGGAATGGCCCATGACTTTGGACCCACATGGAAGGCAAGAGGATTTATGACTGCGGCAGGTACGTCCATAAGACATGGAGCAGCCATTGGACGACTGCTGGGGAAGCACTCCTTCTACCCATTCAAGTGGCTATTCTGAAGGTAAAAGCTCATGGGAAATTAAAAACTCCTCAGAAGCCAAAGGCAATAATCTGGCAGATTTGGCGGCCAAAACGAGCGGCGGCCATGGGAACCACCAGTTAAATGGAAGGAGAGGTGACCGGGGAGTGGGAACCTAATATTCACCTTACAGGACCTTACCTGTGGACAGAAGCTACCTCATGAGGAACTCCAGAAAGCAGCAAGTCCAGAAGAAAAAGAGAGCTGGAGACGGAGAGGAGCTATTCTCAAAGACGGTCTGTTTGAGTGCAACAGGGAAGAGGCTTTGTTTACCAAGAATATGTTTCCTAGCTGTAGTCCAGTGGGCACTACGGAGCAGCCCATCTGTCAAAGAGCCTCATGAACTCTTTATCAACAAGTACTATGTAGCGCCTGGCAATCACCACATTGACGAACAATTTTTGCAGAACATGTGCCATCTGTGCAAAATGCAATCCGGGACGCACAGAGAAGACACCACAGAAACACTTGGCCAAAACCCCTATACCCTTTTCATAGGATACAAATTAATCAATCCAGATGCCAAAGAGTGGGCGGTTTTGAGTACACCCTAGTGGTGTTGGACATGTTTTCCAGTTGACCTGAGGACTTTGCTGTAACTAACAGGACTGCTAAAACAACCTGCTAAGAAACTC